CCGCACTGCCCTGGGGCCCGACCCCAGGTGCCCACCTCGGAGGGGTTGGCTGTACTGCTTAGAAAGGGGAGTGAGACCTTTCTGCCTCATTCATCTTCTGACCTTGCAGAGGACGTGCTGTTTCCTAGGGGCTGGCACAGGGCTGGTCATTTGCTGGAGTGGAGTGGGTGAATGGATAGAGATAGAGAGATGTAGCGAGAGACATAGATGATTTTTGCCTGACCTCTATACACCCCTTGTCCCACCCCTCAGTTTCTCCAGAAAACTGCTGCTGCCCCTTAGGGCCTGGCTCACAGCTCCTTGCTCTGAGGAACCTGACTGTGTGTGGGGTCCTTCTCCTCTGTGCCTCTTTACAAACCTCTGGTCATCAGCACCTCTGCCCCTAGTGAGGCTGGGCACGGCCACATTCTGTTGGTCTCGGTGCTGGCATTAGGCCTGGGGCTGACCGCAGGCAGGAGCTCAGTGGCATCTGTCATGTGGGGCCACCATGGCCAGGCCCGCTGCAGAGGAGGGGGTCTCTACCTAGCGCCCTTGGCTCTGTGATTGCCCTTCGGCTCTGAGGTGGCCTCTCCCTCAATGGCCTCCATGCTGAGCATGCTTGTGGGCTTGTGTCCTGGCTCTTAGGAACTAGTTAGCCCCCACCCCCCATGAGCCCTTGCTCTTTCGGCCCCCTCCTTGTACCAGCCTTGGTTCCCTGTCAGCTGTGACCTCTGATGGCATTTGTAGCCAGTCACATATCACCATTTCACATGTCACCACTGCGCGGTGCACAGAATGCACAGTCTCTTTGCTTTCTTCCGCCCCTCCCCCCAGGCACCTTGTGGGTAGGCCGAGGCCAGCTGCATAGCTGTCAGGGAGCCCCACTCATTGTGAAACGAAAATGCTGACCAAAGCCCTGAGGACATGGTCCTGGGTGCTCAGTACTAAGTCATTGCTAAATGACGATTTATCTGTGAGTTGGTCATAGTTTATGGTGTTAAATGCTTTGTCTTTAATAGAGGGGGATCCATGTGATCTCTTCTTTTGATTCTTCTGTGGTCCCTAAATAACTATATCATCCATGTTATAATTCTCAGAGTGGACAGCATCCCAGAAGGAAGTCCGCCAGCCCAGGAATGGTCGTCACCCGAGGACCAGGGAGACATCCC